GGCTTTGACCCCGACAGCCTGGCTCAGAGCCTCCCCTTCGCCATTCTGCTAGCAAACGGAGATACAGCTTCAGCCCGCACAATTAATTTCCTCGTTTTTACACATATTTTGAACTTCTTTTCAGAAATAACGAGAACCTGTGTAAATCACTTAGTATAGTGACTGACCCATAGTAAATATTTGGTAAATATTGGTTAGTGTAAGCTTTGGCAAATGGACACCTGGAATGTCCACAGCCTTGATTAGCATGGAGAAGAAAATTAAACAGCATCCTATAGCTCTCTGTTTCCCACTTCTCAGAGAGAACCAAAGACTCACATCTATTCAAGATGTTTAAATAAAACGAAGACACTTCAATTTATTTTGAATTCTTACCTAACAGATGCTATAATTTTTATCTTGCCACCAGGTGGCAGCATGTTACACAAGGAAACAATTGAAATGTTATTCTGTTGTAGACTAGTTTTCAGTATTTTGCCTTAAAAACTGTTAAACCATAATAAAAACAAAATATTATTCCGTGTTCCCCTTTGTCTGTATTCCCCCTCGTTTGTTGTGAAGGCCCTCATAGCCCAGTGTCCATAGCCCACAACTAGACCTGCCTTGGTCCTGCCCTGCACACGCTGTCCCTGTAAGCCAGGGCAGAGTTTACTTTTCCTGCATCTGCAACCGAAATGTAAGCCCTCATACTGAGATTCTCCCAACTAAAGTGTTTTAGTTCAGCAGCAGTAGGAACTACGGCAGTCGTCCTCTTCCCTGGACCTTCCATGGTACCCAGAGAAGGACCAGATCTGTGGCAGCAAGTGAATAGGTGCCCTTGGGTAACGGCCAGGTAATAGGTAGGATATACATTTTTAGTTCTTTGTGGTTATGTTTATTTTAATTTGTGCTATAGAAGTCCCTGAAAACTTACTTAAGTTTAGGTATTATTAGAATCATTCAGATAACTACTGCCAAGGGTTGAAAGATTAGTGTCTGAGGTGGAGGGCAATTAATGGCTAATGAAGGTAAAGGACTGGACATGGCAATTAATCAAAGTAGGGCAGAGCGGGGAGCTAATGGGAAAATGTAGAGAGAGTCAGGCTTCAGATACGGGTGTGCAGCGCTGCATGGGAAGGCCAGAGGCTTGCCAAGTTAAGTTGGCTGCAAGGAAATCTCTTATACTTCTTAATCGTGGATCTGCCTAGATTGTTTCACAGGGTTAATGAAATCCATTCACATCAGTTTCTCAGCAAATGTTTTTTCCTGTTCTGTAATCTATTAACTAATATTCAGATTTGACTATATTTGAAACATGGAGTATAGATGAATATGTTTGTAATTCTGACTTGTCACAAAACCTGCAGTGATATTTAGGATGTCATGTTTTTAGAGTATTATGTTAATTAAGCAGTGCTAAAAATTTTCTGGAGTTATGCCATCATCTTGTTTCATTTTTCTGATAGTAAGGAAATAACTATTCCATATAAGTTAATTGTTACAAAATCTTTCCCTGGTAAACATCAAAACTCGTAAGAATAATGAAGACGTTTCAAGAACGTGTTTTGTGTTACTTATGTTAAACAGCAAATCCTGAGTCTCTCTCCCCTTGATGACTCGGGCCACCTTGGCCAACACATGCCCTCTTCAGTCAGGAGCTGTGAGCCCATCTTCACACAGGCCCACTGCTCCCGCAGCCGCTGCCATGTGCGGGCTCCCCCGTGGCCTCTTCCCCAAAACCGCACATGCACATCCCCGCTGGCCTCTCACACAGACACATCCTCACACTCACTCTCTTTCTCTTTCTCCTTCCCTCTCCTTTTCATAATTTGCTTCTGTAGCCTGGGGAATAGAAAAAGTAAAACTAGTTAAAATGATGTCTAAAATTGGAAGGAATTTCAATTTAAGACTGTCCTATTAAAGCATGAGCTTTAGGGAATTCTCTGGTGGTCTAGTGGTTAGGACTCTGTGCTCTCCCTGCCGGGGCCCCGGGTTCAATCTCTGGTCAGGAAACTAAGATCCTGCAAGCCACACAGCACGGCCACAAAAAAAAAAAAAAAAAAAAGCATGAGCTTTAGTGTAAAGGCTTTGTACTATCTATTTAGTTAACTTTTGTTGCTAATTTCTTCCTTTTTTTTTTTTTCCCTGTGTTCTAGAGGTATTTCAGGTTGTTACATCTCTTCCTTGAAAGATATATATGGAGATTGATTTTTAGTGACTGGAGTGAAATGAGCAATGAAAGAAAATTCTAGTCAATTATTGTAACAGATATGTATCTCTTGTCTTTCTGAGTTTTTGAAGTGCTTTGCAGCTTTAGTGGACAGTTATTGTCCGTGACAACCAAGGCTGTTCTCTTAGAAGTTTTATTTTATCTCTACTAAGCCTTAACAGTATTTGCTTAATGCTCATTATGTTTGGGAACTCAACAATTTCAGTCCACAGCCACATACTTTGAAAAGAGGTGTACTGATGTCTACAGTTGTCACATTGGTTTTAAACTCTTAAGGACTTCTTAAAATTGATCATTAATTAATCACTTAGTAATATATATTAAATATTAATTTTTGCCATGATGTAAATAAAACAATCCATTTACATAGTGTCCTCTGTATAGTGTGCTCAGAGAAGTGGAAAATATTTTATTTCAGTGTCTTTAATATGTAATCAGAGAGTTGGATGACAAGTAAATTGTAGCATTGTCCAAAGAGTATTTCACTGAGATGATGGGAATTAGAAAAGAAAACCATTTGCTATATTTAATTATAATGGAGTTAATTGCATGTCTTTCTGATATAAAATACCTCTTACGTCCATTGGGTACAGTTATTCTTGAAGGTGCTTAAATAAAGTATTAAGTATACTATTTAAGTAATAAAATAAGTAGTGACTTGGAAATTTTAGCATAAATAAAGACATAGCCTTCTTAAGCCAGTTTTTAAAGTGATTCATCAACAGATTAGCAAAAAGCCAATTTATTTACATCCAATGGCACATGTAATAATGACTTTTATAATATAAATGCTTGTTTATATGAAGTTATAACTCATTTATGGGACCTTGTAGTTCTAATGTTCTAGTGAAATGTACACATGTGGGTGCCCCTGGCAGGAATTCCAACTCTGTGAATTTATGAATCTGTTGACTTCAATATTTAGTTAGCCTGGCCATCACCGTAATTGACATGTTATTGGAAATAGAGTTAGGTTTTCCCTTATTTATAAGGATAACCTCCATTTTGAGGAATGTGAATCAATTCATAGTTGGCTGACAGCCAGTTTCTCCTTCACTTGAGCTCCAGCACACACTGGAAAAGCACACTGGCTTCCGAAGTGCCTTGTGAATCTGCAGTGATTAATTCTTCTCATTATTTCTCTGCAAGTTCTCGTGACCCTCTCTGATGGTTCGATCAGCCACTTAGAGTTGATGCATATTCATTCCTCGGCGCGCCTGCCGCAGTCGCTCACGCGCCCTGCACTGACTGGTGTGTTCTTGGTGCAGTAATTGAGCGGCAGTAGATTGATTGCTCTGGGGAGCTGTAGGGCCTTAAAGGTGAAAACATATCAGTCCTGTTAATTAGGAAACAAAAGCTCTGGTGGCAGGTTCAGCAGTCAGATATTTACAGTGTAGAAAAGACGAAAGATATGATGTGTTCCTCTCCATGGACCTGTTTACTTTTTAAATTTTGAATTAGGTCTGTATCAGTAGTAGTGGAGAACAGCCTTCTTTTATGAATTTTTATAGAATGCTAATTGAATATAATATTAATACTATTATCTCTCATATCTGATAGTTTAGAACCTGAGTTTGTATACACCTTCTGTAGCATTGGCAATAATGTGTAAAATATCTTAATGTCTTACATAAATATAGAATGCTTTTGGATTGATTCTGGTATTTAGAGGCTTAATTTGGTTACAATGTTCTCATGCTAATTTCTTGTCATTTAGTAGTATGCTCTATGGGAAAAGGGTGAAACTTTATTCAACATGGCATAGAAGTTGAGCTGCCTTTATCTCTTTATTATAAGCATCCTTTGATTATTACCCCCTGCCACCCGCCAAACTGTATGTTAAGTAATACATTGTCTGGGAAAAAGGATCCTGTATGGAACGGCGGCCTCCAGAAGCAAGCTAGTTTCAACATGGACATCTATGCAGCTTATCTAATTGACATGTTTTTCTCAGGTGTGCTGTTCTTATGTTATGGTCTCCCCCTCCCCCTTCCCCTTCTCCAGTCATGAATTTTTTTCTTTTGAGATATAATTCACATACCATAAAATTCACCCTTTTTTAAAGGTGAATTCTATGGGTTTTAGTATATTCACAAAGTTGTGCGACCATCTCCACTGTCTTCCAGAAGATTTTCATCACTCCACTCCTTCCTTCCCCTAACCCCTGGCAACCAATAATTATTTTCCTTCTGTGGATTGACCTCTTCTGGACATTTCATATAAATGGAATTGAACTATACGTGGTCTTTCATGTCTGGCTTATTTTACTTATTAGCAAGGTTCATCCTCATTGTCACATGAACCAGTACTTCATTTTTTATGGCTGAATAATATTCCATTGTATGGTTATACCACATTTTGGGTTTCATTCTTCAGTTGGTGAACATTTGTGTTGTTTCCACTTTTTGGCTGTTGCTGCTACTGGCGTTAGTTCCCACACGTCCTTGTCTTGTTCGTGATTTTAGGGGGAAGGCTTTCAGACTTCACCGCTGGGTATGATACAGGCTGTGGGTTTTCTTAGATGCTGTTTATCAGCTTGAGGAAGTTCCCTTCTATTTCTAGTTCGTTGAATGCTTTTATTGTGAAAACGTGTTGGATTTTGTCAAATGCTTTTTCTGCACCTATTAAAATGCTCATGTGGTTTTTGTCCTTTATTCTATTAATATGGTGTGTTCCATTGGTTGATTTTCTTATGTTGAGCATTGTAATATTTTATGGAACTTTTTATATAATGTTCTCTTACTGTGTGGTTTTAAATAATTTGAACCAATTTCTCTACCTTATATTTCAGGCATTTATTAATACAGCAAAAGAAATTTATGAAAAAATCCAAGAAGGAGTCTTTGACATTAATAATGAGGTATATATATATATATATATATATAATTGGCTAGTTAATTTAGAATTGAATTTTAATTACTTGGAGTCAAGATTTCTACTTTTTAAAATTCGTAAAATGGATCTATGATGTCAGTTAACACATAAGTTTATAATTTTCTCATTGAAAATTTGTTATATGTTGTATAATAGCTAAATGTTTATGTTCTAGTGAAGCATCACTTTATCTATGAAAACGGATTAAAGTAAGTGACCCTATCCATTTATTGCAAGCAATGCAAAATAATATAAATCCTCCAAAGAGAGAAGAAAATCCACTTTCATCTACACATCCATATGGTGTCATCTGCTTTGGGAATAATTTTCTAGTGTGTAAATGCGTGTGCGACATCAGCTAATGCAAGGTGCTCTCTCCATTGTGTCTGGTGCGGAGAAGGGAGGCGTCCAATTGGAAGTTACTCCCAGTTCAGCATAGTGTGTTTTCAGGAGCCTGAGTTAGTATATGTAATTGGCAGTTGGCACTAGTTGTTTTGTTTGTTTTTGTGGGTTTCTTTTCTTTTCCTTTTTTTTTTCTTTTTTTTTTTTTTGTAAAATTATTTTGAGCCAGTTTTGATCAACATGATGAGGATAAAATGTAACTTTGAAACAGATAATTCAGAGTGTTTACCAAAGGCCATCATTTTGACCTAAATCACCACTATGCATTTGTCCTTATTTATTTCAGAATTTTTATGTGGATAAGAGCATATTATTTACTTTTACATAAATGTTTCTGCCATTCTATAATAAGACTTCTTGCTTCCAAGAGAAAAACCCTTATTCCTCCCCCAGGTGCAGTGAGGAAGCACCGTGTTAGGAAGACATTGTGTGTGCATCTCTTGGCATGTGCAAGAGAGCCTCTTTATTATCTGTCTCAATATTCTTGGCTAAAACAAACAACAGTTTGCCTAGGGTTTCCAAAAAGTGTTTGATTTTCCAGTTTCTTTTAATTTGTAGTGATAAAGTTTCTAACCCATACTTTCCAGGCTTATATGGCAACAGACCTTGAGTTAATTTAAAGGCGACACCATTCAGAGACTAATGCCATATAAATTGAACAGTAATTGGGCGTCTTTGTAAAGGGCATGTTCATTGTCTCTGTCTGGTTTCATATAGTAGCTGAGTGCTTTACTGTGCCTGGCGTGGCTTTGATTGCAATGTGCTGTCAGGAGCCAACAGGCCGTGCGATTTATCTGGCCTGATGCCAAGTCTGACTTCTTGATTCCTCAAGAAGTTGCTACCAGCCCAGAGGGGGCAAAACCAATGAGCCATAGGGCATGCTTTTTATTAAAGAGGAGTCAGAAGAGCGAAAAGAAACCACATCAGCTGCTGTCAATACTGAGCTAGTGCCAGAAACCCCAAGGCTACTACTGTTGCAGAACAACTGCCAAGCACTATAAATCTGAGATTTACTGTGACGTAAAGTTTCCTTAAGAGCTTAATTTCTGAAGCTACTGTATTACTTTTCTCAGAGTGTTGTATTTTTAGGTAAAATCCACTTGAGGGAGTGAGGGTTGAGACATAAGTGTGAGTTTGATGAATGAAAGAACCACTCTGTGTGTGGGTTCTTGGCAAGCTGCCATGTCTTTGGGGATCATAGAAATTATTGATGACACAGAACACTCATATGCCCTTAGCCTGTACAGCTGATTCAACATGGAACAGAAACGCTGTCTAGAGGAAAGATTGTACGTTGTATTAGAGGAGCATAGGCTTTGCATATTTTTCTCTTTTAAAGATTACGTTTTAAACAATCTCTCCATTGTGAGAATTCCCTTAAAAGCAGCACTCTGGTTTCTGTTAACGCAGTACCTGGTATGATAAAGAATTGTTTGCAGGAATATTTCCACAAGTATTATTTTAAAAGGAAGGAACATCCCCTGAGAGATATTGTTTTAATTGTTGTAAAAATCTGCTTAGCATATATATATATATATATATATATATATATATATATATATATATATATTTTTTTTAGTTGTTTGGTAAGATTGTGGCACTAAGAAACCAAAGGATTTCTTAAATTTAAATTATACTGTCTGGTTGGCTCCAGATACATTTATTATCCTTCTGTCTTTCATTCCAGGCAAATGGCATTAAAATTGGCCCTCAGCATGCTGCTACTAACGCCACGCACGCAGGCAGTCAGGGAGGACAGCAGGCCGGGGGAGGCTGCTGTTGAGTCTGTTTTTACTGTCTCGCTGCCCAGAAGGGGCTACTCACCTATTCTTTCACCCTCCTGCTCAGCTGAGACATGAAACTCTTCGAAATGGCTTTATGTCACAGAAGAAGACTTTAATCCTTCAAATTCTTGTATAACTTTGAATAAATGGTTAATGTTCACTTAAAAAGACAGATTTTGGAGATTGTATTCATATCTATTTGCATTTGATTTCTAGGTCAATTGACGTGATTATTTTTGTTAAATGTTGTCTTGTGCCCTTACCTACGAACTGAATTGTATTGAACACTACAGAGTCATCTTGAGTATTTTAAATCGGTTTGTGTAGTTAGGTTTCCCCACACCTGTGGTTACCTAATGTTTAATATTATAGAACTGTCCTCAAAAGTTTGTCAATTTTCAAGGCTATAAGGAAAACCGAAGGACTCTTTTAATTCTGTATTTATCATTTACTTTCTGTATATATAGTTTATAACCTGCTTGGGTGTAATTTGCCAAGCTTGAATTCTTTAATGCATTTGCATAAATTCTATACTGTTTAGAGCTTAAAGCTACAGAAGCATCGTTAGGAATTGCTTGGACACTGAATTTTAAACTTTTTGACATTGTTAACAAGCATGTTCATCTTTTTCTTGTCACTAGTCCGAGAGAAATATGCTTAATGTACATTCTAAAGGCTATGTGTGTGTTAACCTGTTTTAATGCCAAAAGTTTGTTATTTGTCCACAGTTTCTTTAAGACCTCTTCAGAAAAGGATTTGTTTGCCTTAATGCAGACTGTTGGGTAAAAACACAGTATAATGAGTGAGGTGGGCGGAAGAAAGGACTCCCTCTGCCTGAGCGACTCCAGGAGGAATGAGTGTCCACATTTAGACGGCACATTATGAGGACTTTAATCTTTCCTTGAACACAATAATGTTTTCTTTTTCTTTTATTCACATGATTTCTAAATATATTTTTCACGCAGGACAGTTTTTCAACCCTTGATGTACAGTGACTGTGTAAAATTTTTCTTTCCGTGGCAACCTATAATCTTTAAAATATGGTGAGCATCTTGTCTGTTTTGAAGGGGATATGACAATAAACCTACCAGATGGAAAATCCTGTTAAAAGTAGAAAAGCTTTAGTAATTTGCTCAGTGTGGTGGTTTTATCCTTCTTTTTCTTTTTCTCCCTTGGACTATAATGAAATTGTTATAGCAGTGCAAATAAAATCCTATGTATAAAAGTGTTCTTTTTTTTTTATGACCACATCATTTTTTAAGAATGCAGTTTTTCAGTCCATCCACAGCTTTTACATGTATTATAAAGCACATTTTTTTTTAAGGGTCAGGATGTTTAACAACACTACCCTTTTTAAAAATTTTGCTAGAATGTGATAAAAATCTTTTTACCGTATTGAAATTCTTTTTGTTATTGATGATGTAAGCAAGTATTTTAAGTATGAAACTAACTACTTTCAATCCGCTCACTGACTTCAGCTTTCTACCTGTCTTTCCTGAAGATTCAGCAGTGCTCTGTCAAAGCTTTGACATTACTCCTGTGGGAAGTCACCCAATGCTATCTGAGTTTTTTGCTTTAACTAGCTCCTAGAGGACAGAGAGAAAGGTGAGGGGAAATTGAGTTTCTTGAGTATTTTTATTATGAACTTTTTTTTTCTTTAAAGTGGTCTTATCAAATTCACTGATCTTACCATTCACTCTCATTAGTGGTGAGTAGGACAAGTTAAGACAACTAGAACTTGTTCTGCTCTGTACCAGGAAGAGGATGATTCTTTGGGAACTGTTTTTGTTTGTTTGTTTGTTTGTTTTGCTGTACTTGGGCCTCTCACTGTTGTGGCCTCTCCCGTTGCAGAGCACAGGCTCCAGACGCGCAGGCTCAGCGGCCATGGCTCACGGGCCCAGCCGCTCCGCAGTATGTGGGATCTTCCCGGACCGGGGCACGAACCCACGTCCCCTGCATCAGCAGGTGAACTCTCAACCACTGCGCCACCAGGGAAGCCCTGGTAACTGTTACTTTTAAACTGCTGTTAATTTTTCCAGAAACTTAATGTGTTTCTTTTCCATGCTGTCTCCTCTAATTCTTTTATAAATCAAGTGTAAGAAGAGAAAGTCATGGGGAAAACAAACAACAACAAAGCACATGTATTTTAATAACCTAAGAAGAGCTGGAGCCCTCAAATGCAGCCCCTGCACAGTAGCCTTAACCTGCCTCGGCCTTGGGCCACAGGGGCGGGTAGAGGACTTCTCCGTAGTTGTCACCACTTTCTCTACAAGTTTCATCTGCCATTAAGGAACATATGTGATGAATCCTTTATGTCAGTCGACAAAACAGTGTTACCATCTGGTTTCTACTCTGCTGTTTTATTATCCTTGTCACAAATAATGTAATAGTGGCACCTGGAACTAAATGCTTTAATACTGTAATTAAGTCTTTAAATGATCTTTGGTCAATTTTGGTAGCACCTATGGACATGTTTTAAGAGCTAGAAAATCAGTCACAAAAAATAAAACTTTTAATGTCTCAACATGTAACATTCCAAAGTTGTAATCTTCATAAATATAGTGTTATAATTTGCCTTCTGGGTTTAACAAAACTGGATTAAGACCAAATTTTTGGAAGAGTAGTGTATAATTAGATATACAATTCAAACAGTACATGAGAGAGAAACTATATCTTCCTACACAGTTTATTTTTAATTTTTTATTGAAGTATAGTTGATTTACAGTATTGTGTTATAGTTTCAGGTGTACAGCAAAGTGATTCGGTTATATATGTATACATCTATGTTCTTTTTTAATTCTTTTCCATTATAAGTTATGTTTTTAATTTTAAAATAGCCTGTTAAGAGGAAAATAGTTCCTGTTTCTAATCATTCTAATAGTGAAGAGAGTAGGAATATATATGATACCAAAATGTGTCTAATCTCTCAAATGATTTGTGTTTGGAACACATTAAACATTTATTCCCTCATAGGTAGTGAAGCTCCATCTAAGCTCAGTACTAAGGTTGGCAGCACAGGGTTTGACTATGTGAGCTAAAAATTAATACCACAAAAACCCATAATAATGCAAAAAGATAACCCTGTTCCATAATAAATAATTGACTATACAAATGCATGAACATATCTACCTGTGTTTCCTGGAAAGAGTTCACATGTGCTTCAGTGTTCAAATGAGAATAGAGCCTAACCCCATAAGTAGAGTATCTCATGTTGCATTGGTATATACTGGATAACACTACTTACTTGGCTGAAGTCATGATGGGAAACTTCAAGCTGCACGTGTATATATTCAGTGTTCATTAGGTTTAGAAAATCATCAGGCCAGCTCTTAAAAATTGAAGGACAAAGGACCAAAAACCTGATAGGAAACATGGAAAAAGACAGTTCACCAAAAAATGAAGTAAAAGTATCCCTAAAATATGTTTTAAAATTCAGACAGTTAGAAATGCAAATTAAAACTGAGATGCCATTTCTCAACTATGATATTGGAAGAAGTTTAATACAGGTATGACAACACATTCTGTTGGTGAAATGTCTCATATGTTGCTGGTGGAAGTGCAGACTGATATTAGCTTTCTGGAGAGGAACTCAACAATACCTAATAGAACCAGGAGATACTTACCTGTTGACCCAGCCTTCCCACTTCTAAGAAAATACCCTGATGATACCCTCCAACAATGCGAAAGCACATGTGCACAAGGTTGCTCACTGCAGCATTGGCTGTAATTGCAAAATAATTGAAAATGACCTCAGTGTCTTTACATAGGAGAGTGATTCAGTAAGCTGGTACGTCACACAATGTAGTCCTGCACGGGTGTAAAGAGTCTGTGGAAGAGCTCTGTGTACTGATGTCATGATTTCCAGGATATATTGTTAAGCAAAATGAGAAAAGCAAAATGCAAGCGTGTCTACAGTTTACCATCGCTCATTTAATTAGGAAGGCAGGAGACGAAAATATACATGTATCTGCTCACCTGTGCAAAAGAAACACAAGAATAATAAACTAGAAACTAATAATAAACTAGAAACTAATGAGACTGGTTACCTAGTCTCATCAGGGGGTGAGTACAGAGTGGAAACCAAGGCGAATCGGGACGAGTGGCACCTTTCAATATACAGTTTCGTTTAACTCAAAACTACAGTAATGTTTCACATACTCTGAAAATAATTAAAATCAACCATGATGTACCAGGAACTCAAAATGAAATAAAAACTAATGAGAACCTACCTATAGTATTAAAAAGTGACATTACCACACTGCACAGTTCTGTGGAATTCTTGCGCAAAATGTATAACGTCGACCTAGTCATTGGGAAACCTCAGACGAACCCAAATTGAGGAAAATCCTACAAAGTGGCTAGCGCTCTTCAAAAATACCAAGGTTGTGAAAGATAATGAGGCACACAGATTGGAGGAGACAGATGTGGTAGCTGAATGTAATGTGGGGTGCTGGATGGGTCCTGGAGGCAGTTTTGATGAGGGAGGGGCACACGGGGGGCTTCTCAGGTGCATGTTCTGTTTCTTGACCTAAATGGGGGTTACACGGATACTTGCTTTAGAATCCTTTAAACTGGGCCGATGTGTTGTATGTACTTTCTTGTAAATTAAGACTTTGTCTCCATCGATCAAAAATGCTGCCTTATGAGTTGCTCTCAGAACTTGAATATGTGAAGTCTACCCTATCCCCTTTTCGTGGATTGAACTGTGCTCCCCACCAGCCCCCCAAAAAATATGTATGCTGAAGTTCTAAGCCCTCGTATCTCAGAATTTGTCTTTATTTGGAAACAAGATGGTTGCAGATGTAATGAGTTAAGATGGAGTCATACAGGATCAGGGCCGGTGTCCTTATCAGAAGACGGCCATGTGAATACACACACAGGGAGAAGGCCACGTGGACGAGGCAGCCTCAAACCCGGGAGCCCCGAGATGGCCAGCAAACCACCAGCCACTAGGATGAGTCCTCCACGGGTTTCAGGGATTACACCCCTGCCGACCTCTTGACTTCTGGTGTCGAGCCTCCAGAAGTGTGGAAGAAGTTCCTGCTGTTTCAAGTCACCCAGTCAGTGACACTTTGTTACGGCCACCCTAGGAAATTAATACATACCTTACATCCTATGAATGAAGACATTTTTTGATAGGTTGTCTGTGTCCCTTCAATGAAAGGTCGTGTTGAAGCCGTGGGTTTATGGGAGAGTAACAGCTGCTTCACTGCGTAGCACGTGTAGAAATCATCGTGAGAGAAGCAAAGTTAATCTCTAGGAATATTTTTACATCTTCCTGCTTCAGAGTAATTTAATTTACACATCCAGATGCTATTCAGAATATGAAACATTTTTGTACATAGGGATTTCATGAAAAATCATAGATACAGCACAGGACTTTCCTTATATGACGTTAAAGATAGCATTTTTAATGTTACTTAAGCCCAGAATTCAGTTTAAAATTGAAGCAGATGTCAGTGTGTACAAGTGTGATCTTAACGATGATTACGATGCTGACAGTGAAAGTGGAGATGTTAACGCAAGTTCAGCAATGACATCCTGTTGTGAAAGTAAGCAAGTAAAAACAAAAAATAGGTGTGAGCTGACCAAGAGGGGTTGGGTTTTGAGATTGAGATCCTGAGATCATTATTTATTTATTTATTTATTTATTTATTTTTGGCTGCGTTGGGTCTTCGTTGCTGCGCGTGGGATTTCTCTAGTTGTGGCGAGCGGGGGCTACTTTTCATTGCGGTGCGCGGGCTTCTCATTGCGGTGGCTTCTCTTGTTGCAGAGCCCGGGCTCTAGGCACGTGGGCTTCAGTAGTTGTGGCACGCAGGCTCGGTAGCTGTGGCGCACGGGCTCAGTTGCTCCGCGGCATGTGGGATCTTCCCAGGCCAGGGCTCGAACCCATGTCCCCTGCATTGGCAGGCGGATTCTCAACCACTGCGCCACCAGGGAAGCCCCTGGAATCATTTTTGATCATTTGAATATTGCTAACAAGGTACAGAGCATCGAGAACAAGAGTGAAGGCAACTAGCTGGTGGGTGAGATAGTCACCAGGGAGAAGGCCCCTGCAGTCTTCTACTTGACAATTAATTTTGCATTAAAATTGCCACATTCCAGTCCCCAGGAGCTGCTGCACAGAATTCACATTTACAAGAACGTGGAAACTGGCTGCAGTCCGCCCTCCGCTCTGTCTTGTCACACGCGCTTCTGCGTGAGTTGGGCGCAGCCGGGACACGTATC